GATTTGCTAGCCAGGCTCTGCCACAGTTTATCATTCTTTTAAACACATTTACATAATATATATTTATATATACTTATACTCTCTCTCGCAAAAATAAATAAATAAATCTTTATAAATGAATAACTAACTAACTAAATAAATAAATAAAATAGAAACATGGCAGTCACTATTCCAAAATAATTCTGAGGTCTCATGGGAATAGTTTGTGTGGCCTCCTTCCTTAAAGGTGTGGAAGATTGATTAGGCCATGATTCTGCTTTTTAGAAGAACTTCTGATGAACTGTTCTATATAGTTCTTGATTCCACCCTCTAGGAAGCATCCCCTTGTTCACTATTCTCTTTTGCCACATCAGAAGTAGACCCTCCTTCAAGGATAAGCTTCAAAGTTTACTCCTACTCAAGGAAATTTAGAAATCTAGGGTTATTATCGCTTTCTTTGTTTTGCTTTGCTTTTTAATTCTAAACATTCAAAAGCTTTTAGGTATAGGCTTGTGATTACTTTGGTCATATATTTCTTACAGAATTTAGGAAGCTATTTATTAATGTAATCTTACTTGACCTGACTGAGTACTTGCAATCAATTTTATATGTCAGTAAATACACCTAAAGTTCTTTGAAGGCATAACTCTCAAGTAGGCTTTAATGTCTTGCTTTTCTGCCTCCATTTCTGTATTTTTAGAGTCAGTGACAACCACAGAGAGGCTCTCAGGAATAAGAGTTATGAAAGCATAGCCTAACAGCATCTTTATCTTGAATCACTTTATTCGACTGAGAAATTTCAATAGGCATATTTTGCTCAATGCTTTTTTTTTTTTTTAATAATTCTGTGTCTTAGTGTTGGGTTCTACAAACAGATTTTCAACAGTAAGATAGAAGGCATCAAATTTCTAGGTCCTCTCTACTCTCTCTCATTTCTTCTTTCCAACTGTCCCGCTCTTTCTCTAATCTCATCTCCTTCTTCTATCACATTAGTGCTCTGATTATTTACAAGTATCTCTCCTAAAGCTATGGGTGATTGGATTCCCAATTATGACAGATGACATTTATGCCAATTTTTTTTCCTATAAGATATGAATAACCATCATTCCGGCTGCTGCTGTTTTTTTCATCCCTTTCCACTTCTTGGCTCCTAAGCCCATGCCACATGTTTGTGGAATTTTAAGATATACTACTTTCTGTATTAGGGAGAATAGGGTAGGCTCTCCTGTGATGGCAGCTATCCCCACAAAATATCACTAATTAAAAATAAAAGATTTTTTTTTTTTACGATCCATTTCCATATTAGAGAGAGAGAGCGAGTGTGCGTGCAGGGGGAGGGGCAGAGGGAGAGAGAAAATCCTCAAACAGACTCCCTGCTGAGCTCACAGTCCGATGCAGGGCTCAATCCCAGGACCCTGAGTTCATGACCTGAGCTGAAATCAAGAGTCAGATGCTTAACCCACTGAGCCACCGGGCACTCCAAAAATAAAAGAATTTTCTTGCTCATGAAAAGTCTGAGGAAGGACAAATGGATTTTAGCGGCGGCTCTCTTCCAAGAAATAACTCACAGCCTCAAGTTCTTTCATCCTGTAATTCTGCCATCACAGAACCCTTGCTTCATAGTGACACAAAAATGGAAATGAGGGAAGTGAATCAAAAATATTGTGGGAGATTTCAGGGACCAGGTTGGATGGTGGTTTCTGTTACTTTTTTTTTTTTTTTTAGATTTTTTATTTATTTATTTGACAGAGACATAGAGAGAGCAGGAACACAAGCAGGGGGAGTGGGAGAGGGAGAAGCAGGCTTCCCGCTGAGCAGGGAGCCCGATGTGGGGCTCAATCCCAGGACTCTGGGATCATGACCTGAGCCGAAGGCAGACGCTTAACGACTGAGCCACCCAGGCGCCCAGTTTCTGTTACTTTTATCCATACATCATCAACTAGGAAAGAGCTGGCCCCATTGTAAGGTCAAGCCAGACTGGGAAAGACAGTCATCCTTTATGCTCAGGAAGGGAGAATAAAATTCGTAAGCATTTAACCAGTCACCACAATACATAGTTCTCATTTCTATTTGCCAGTATATCTTTTCACATTATTTCACTCTCATTCTTTGAGTCCTTATATTTTAGGTATTACTCTTGTAAATATTACATCATTTAATTTTAAAAATCTGATCTGACGATCTCTGTCATTAAAACTGAAGGTTTAGTCTTTTACATTTAACATGATGATTTCTAAAATTTTTCTGTTTTCCTGAAGTTCCCCCTATTCTTTGTTTCAGTTTTATTGTCTTAAGATCAAGTTTCCTTTATCTTTTTTCTACTGCTCTACTGATTTAGAAGCTATATATTCTTTCTCTATTTTTCATAATATTTCTATGCTCTCACTGACATGATTTCTTAAAATGTTAGAATCAAAAATATGTGTTAAATTTTACAGTCCAGTGATTTAATTGTTGCTATTTAAAAACTCACAAATTAGTAATTATTATCTCTATTTTACCATAAAATCAATACTTGCTTAGATATAAATACTTAGCAATTTTCTTTCTTTTTTCCTTTTTTTTTTTTTTGCTCATTTCTTTTTGCATCTTAATCTTTACTTTTATTATCAAGTTTCTTCCTGAAGTATGTTTCTTTAGAGGTTCTTTCTTTATTGGCCTATTAATTCTGTAGTCTAAGTTTTTGTTTGTCTAAACATGTATTCTATTTCACTCTTTTTACTGTATGATAGTTTACTTATATCTAAATGATGTAAATAATGGCTAAAATGTATAAAAGATAAATGGACAAAGTAATGGTGAATACAGAAAAGTCTAGGTAAGCTTTGAAGTGTTACATTCCTTAAATATTTTAAAATATGAATTATTTTAGAGTTTATATGACTAAAATAATAGAATTACTATTGAGTTTTCCTTTGGTAAATGTAATCTACCCAGAATGTGGTATCAAGAGCTAGAATCAAATACATGCTTTTTTTTCTTTCTTAAGGTATTTGAAAAAAATTACCAAAATATAAATGAACCTCAACCATAATTAGTATTTCTTATCCTGCCATCAAATTCTTAGCAAAGATATTCTGTTAATTTTCTCTTCACATGCCCTTTAGACATGAAATTGTCATGCAACACAAAAAATAAATGGCATCATATATTAGGATAAACCTCAGACTTTCAAGAATGTGGTTTAGAATTAAGGGCTTGAATGTTCTTTTTAGACTATAGCTCTGAGTTAATAATTATTAAAATTATTTTGTTATCTTATACCTATTAGTTTTTCAAGGCCTTTATACATTGTAATAGAGTCTGTTATTTTTTCCTACCCCCCAAAACTGTATTTTCCTCATTTATAGAGCTTTCTTATTTAAGAAGTTCAAGGAATAGTCAAGCAGGCAAGAAAACTGATAAAGCAAATTTGTCAATGTCTGAAGAATTATCTCTCTCAAAGATGATCAAAGATGTCTAGCCTTGGAAAAAAAAAAACTTGAGTCAGAATTATGCTAAGCTGAAATGATCTAAATTTCATATCAAATTGTTTTTTCTCAATTCAGAAACATTTTTATGAGGCCATCCATCTTAAAGACAAATGCTAAGTCAAGATGATGTATTATTTCATTGCAAATTTCAGTATTGAAGAATATAAATTGAATTTGAGCAGACCAACAACCTAATAAATTCAGAGAAGATCTCCAACTTGACCTCTAAGTATGTAAAAAATGTACGGGTTAAGAAAATTAGGGAAACCTAAGACCAAAGAGAATGTGAATGGTTTTAGCTAGATGATTTTTTTTGCTTATCAGCCATTTCAGAAGGAAACTGTATGTAATATTAGTTCACAACCTAGCTTACACAAATACATATTTAATGTGACCTATAAACCACAACATATGCTGATATGCTGAGGAAACCAGTGTCTTAATGATCATAAATATGACTCAGAGGAATATTAATTGCTATTGAACCTTCTCTGTTTAGGAAGGCTGAAATATATGAAACACATGTATTGATAAATTGCTGTACATACATGAAATGTGTCGCCAGTTTTTAAGGGTTAAACCTAAGTTTTCTGAAAATCAACTTATGTAGAATTCATCTGCCTTGACGCCCCATAACTGAGGCATTAATCTATAAGCTTTTTGTTTCTTCTTAATTTTATTCAGCCAATGAACAAATTTTAAAGCTAAATTTTTCTACCTCCATAGTAATTTTATAGTCATAAGAAAAAAAAAAAAAAGCAAAGTAAAACCCTGAAGGTCAAATCAGACACAGGAAAAACACAACTACCCTAAGCTGCTAAATTTGGGATACTGGTTGTCCTTGGGCAGGGAGAGGACAAGGGTTATGGAAGGGAAGAGGAGGTATGCTGGTAATGTTATGTTTCTTATTGAACTATACATTTATGATATGTGTCTTTTCTATATGTATATTTTGCTTCAATAAAAAAAAGATTTTAAAAATCTGAAAGTCAATATTAGAGCCATCTAATAGCCAGCTGGTGTGTAGACATGTAAAGGAGTACGATGCTATTCTGTCCTCCAAGCTGTCTGAAATAGGAGTCTAAAGAGAGTTTTTGTGAAAGCCAAGGCATATCTATAAAATGCCTTTTACTCTTAACTTTGCTGGATTAATACAGCAATGCTAAATATATTTTTATCAGTCATGGAATGCACAAATAGAAGTAAAATGTCATTAAACCTCAATGCAAGTGAGCTGGAAAAACACTGGCTTTGTTCGGAATTCTGCTATTTGAATTAAAGAACAATGTTCTTTCTCTGTGGTTATAAAAGAGCATTTTAATGAATGATCACTGAAGCTGAACAAGATCACACACAAAGAAAAAAGCTTAATTAGTGGCAGGATTCTAGGTCAGACTAGATCCTAGAATCCTTTCCTCATTCATTGTCCTAATCTGTTGGGTTTCCAGGCAGAATCAGCAGATTTTCAGGGGCCATTATTCCACGTTTCATCCTCTGCCACCCGTGACGCATTGGTAAGAGGAGCCTTGTCACTGTGTCTCCTAACAGAGAGAAAAGAAGACCATTACCGATCAGCGAATGAGACTGTCTGGTGCAGAGAGTGCTGTGGATCATCCCCCACCATCCCTGTCATCAGTTCTGAAGAATAACCCACTCTATGGTGACCTAAGTTTGGAGGAAGCTATGGAAGAAAGGAAAAAGCATCCCTCGTGGACCGTTGAGGAGTATGACAGGCATTCCCTGCACACAAACCTTTCTGGGCATCTGAAGGTACTCAAAGCAAAGAATCACCTCCTTGAATTGATGAAGATCAGTCAAATATTCCTTTTAAAAAAATGAGTATTAAGGTGACAAGCACTCTTCACTAGACCCAGATCATTAGACTTCAGGTCATGTGGGCTCCTGGCATCCCTTTCTTGCTCCCAGGCAGCATGTGTTTATGGATTTGTTCTGACTTTTACTATGTCAGCAATTACTGACACCTATTCGGTATAGAGGGAAAGAAATAATGTGACACAGAAAGGTTGACCTAGAAGGTAAAATGTTTTTGAAAATTAATTTGCCAGATGAGGTATGTTTTCCCCTAGTTTTGTGACCATTTATTTCATGAAGACTTAAGAATTCCCTCATCCACATTGATTCAAAACTATTTATTCAATGCTCTGTCTTAGGCACGGGGCAAAGAAGTTCTCATCAAGGGTCATCTTATTCCAAGCCCACTCAGTGATTTAAGATTGCAGATTTACATTTTGGACATTTTCCTGTGTCTCAGTAACAAAACAAAAACATTTCAACACAGGAAAAGTATGTAATGAACTCATTCACCCAGCTTAAACCCAACTTCAGTTTTTCTTTGTTTCTTTTTTTCTCCCGGTGTCATCTATCACATAGAAGATCTAGAAATACCTGCAAAGCAAGGAGAGTGGCCCTCTGTTTTCTGAGTGGACTGGATTCCTCCCCTTGCCTCTGCCTGCCCTAAGGTCAGGGAAGCGTGACTTTTTCCACATACACTTCATTTAAGAAGGTGTATCTGCTCTGATCCCCATACCTTAAGCACCTGAAGATTTTTTTCTTTTGCAAAGGGGACAATATTGTGTCCCCTTAAAATCTTACACTTTGAAAAACCTCAAATGTGCACTCTTAAAATATCTTGTTGTCCAGAGTCTTTGAGGTTTTTTAATCTCTTAGTAGATTTAATGTATCTCCTTCTTAATGTAGCCTCTTTTCCAGAGAAGTTTCCATAACAAACGTTCTCCCATAGCAACAGTAATCTTGTGGGGGGTTTTTGTTTGTTTGTTTGTTTGTTTGTTTTTAATCAAGAGTCTGAAGATCAGGTCCTCTAAGAAATTAGTTTCTTTTTTTATTAAGTTTTTATTTTAATTCCACTGTAGTTAAAATGCAGTGTTATATTAGTTTCAGGTGCTCAATATTGTGACTCAACAATTCACCCAGGGATCATCACAAAAAGTGCACTCCTTAATCCCCATCCTCTGCTTCACCCATCCCCCAACCCTCTTCCCTCTGGTAACCATCAGTTTGTTCTCTATAGTTAAGAGCCTGTTTCTTGGCTTCTCTCTCTCTCTCCTTCTCTCTCTCTTTCCTTTGCTCATTTGCTTTGTTTCTTAAATACCACATGAGTGGAATCATATGGTATTTGTCTTTCTCTGACTTAGTTTGCTTAGCATTATACTGTCTAGCTCCATCCATGTTGCTGCACATGGCAAGATTTCATTCCTTTTATCCATTCATCTTTTGATGGACACTTCGGCTGCTTAAAAAGTCACTTGCTACAATTGGGAAAGTATGTATTGTGTTATTTCACAAACATTTCTTGACTGAGTGCCGGAGGCTCTTCTCTGCTCTTTAGTGTTTACCTGAATGGCAAAAGGATATGAAGATAAGTATTGCTGTCCCTGCATCAAAAAAGTTCATCTAACTGATCAGAGTAATAAAACCATAATTATAGAACAAAATAAAGGAAGAGGATAATGTAATAATAGTAGAAAGGGCTATGCAGATTCGAAAGGAAGACAAAATCACACTGGATTATAAAAAGGCTTCATGAGGGCGCCTGGGTGGCTCAGTCGGTTAAGCGACTGCCTTCGGCTCAGGTCATGATCCTGGAGTCCCGGGATTGAGTCCCGCATCGGGCTCCCTGCTCGGCGGGGAGTCTGCTTCTCCCTCTGACCCTCCTCCCTCTCGTGCTCTCTGTCTCTCGTTCTCTCTCGCAAATAAATAAATAAAATCTTTTAAAAAAAAAGGCTTCATGAAAAAGTTAATTTATGCTGGGCTTGAAGAATGCATAGAATTCCAAAAGATATGGATGGTTTGCATGAGCGGGGAGGCTCTTCTGTCCAGAGTAGCAAGAAAAAAGGCACAAATACCAAAAAGTGAGAGAGATTGGCAGAACAACAAGTAGTCCAGTTTTGCTGACACTACAATTTAAGTAATAGAATAATGGGAAAATGAGGCTCAAAAACACTTTAAAAAGTGTTTGAATGTAAGGCTAAGGAGATTGAACATCGTTGGCAATGAGGAATATTCCTGTTGGCAAATTCTGTGAGCTATGTTTAGGAAGATCAAATATAAATATGATGAGTGCATTGCTTCACTGAACCCGGGGTCTGTCCTCTCCCCACCCATCCTCCACACATACGGTTTACCTCAAAGCTATTCTTTAGCATTCTTTTGAGGGATACTTCTGAAAGTCATGACTTTCTTTTTCATTAGAATTTCTTTCTATACTTCATTCATTCAACTTCTTTCATCACCATCCCAGTACATCTCATAACTAACAGAGCGCCTAACTTATTTTCTGAAATCTTTTCACCTCTTATGGGCTATAAAAGCTCCAAGTGCCTTGGGTCAATAGCATTTTTCTAAATCACTAAGAATTTTATAAGTAAGGAAGGAGAAAAGAAGCCCCATATGCAGTTACCAGGGCTAACGAGGAGCAGGATGTAAGAGGAGTCTGGAATTATGGAAGTTCTTCCTGAGGATTGTAGGCATTAGACTTGCCTTTGATTAGAACACAAAGTAAATGAATGATACAAGTCAAGTACACAGGGATTGCAAGATTATCCTTCTGCAGAGCTCATCCAAATTTTCTTTTACTATTTTAGCTTTTCTAAGACCAGGAAGTTGATATTGCAGCAATGCGGTGGAGGAATTGTATTGCGCTCAGCAGCACCTGCCCAGCTCCCTACGTGTGTGCCCGCTCGGCTCCCAGCAGGGCGCTAAGAAGTCCAAAGCTAATTCACTGACCTCTGAAGCTGACTTAAAGTCCACTGAGACGAGAGAGGCAGAGAGGGGGCGGGCAGCTCAGCCGCAAGCCATTGCTGATGAGAAATAATGATGCTCTTCAAAGCCTAGCCTCTCTTGTTTGAGCTGTGACACTTTTTTTTATTGTTATGTTAATCCCCATACATTACGTCATTAGTTTTAGATGAAGTGTTCCATGATTCATTGTTTGTGCATAACACCCAGTGCTCCATGCAGAATGTGCCCTCCTCAATACCCACCACCAGGCTAACCCATCCTCCCACCCCCCTCCCCTCTAGAACCCTGTTTGTTTTTCAGAGTCCATCGTCTCTCATGGTTCGTCTACCCCTCCGATTTGTGACACTTTTTTTAAAAAAAGATTTTATTTATTTTTGACAGAGAGACACAGCGAGAGAGGGAACACAAGCAAGGGGAGTGGGAGAGGGAGAACAGGCTTTCTGCAGAGCAGGGAGCCCGATGTAGGGCTCGATCCCAGGACCCTGGGATCATGACACAAGCTGAAGGCAGACGCTTAAGCCACCCGGGTGCCCCGAGCTGTGACACTTTTAAGCCTCACTAGGGACAGTGTAGATATCAACCTTCAATACCTCTCCCAGTGTCTTGTTCTGCAGTGTTAGTAAGTCTGTAAACACTGGTTACTGATTGATCCTATTCTGCGTAATTTTTTTTTTCTTTTTAGGAAAATCCTAATGACCTACGGTTTTGGTTGGGAGACATGTACACGCCCGGTTTTGATACCTTATTGAAAAAGGAAGAGGAACAAGAGAAACATTCAAAATACCGTCGCATAGGTCTGATTTTGCTCCTTGTTGCCTGTGTCTTGGTTTTCATAGTGACTGTTAGCACATTTTTCACCTGAAGAAACTGCTGCAGATACAGCCACTTGAAATTTCTTTAAAAAATCTTTCTAAATAAACATTTGCAGAAAAAAACATGCTTGGGGGTCTGCATGTACTGTGGAATGTCCAGCTAAGTGTCATTGTCTTGTAGAATGCAAATGTTCCCTGAGCTATGCCGGCTTTCTCTGCTTTGTTCTAGAAGCCTTGGTAGGAATTCCAGAGTGATCTTTGTCCTTCGGGAAGCAGGAATTCCTGGGATCAAAACCACAGAAAAGCTGCTATACACAACCCAAACGAAACACTTAGGATAGAGAACAAAACAGCACCAATAATTGTCAGCAGGCTTGTCTTACCTCCTTGCCAACTACCCTCCCCACCGCCCCGTCATCCCTAAGAAAGTTGAGCATTTTTTGGCAGCCCCAGGTGTGCAAGATGAAAACTCGTTGTGCTGCCTGTTGGATTGAATTCATGCTGTTTTATCTGCTTTTATTCCTGTTTAAGCTGGGAAAGGGGTGGTGGGGGGCTTTATTCAAACCTATTCTCATTTTCTCAGGATTGCTTTATAAATGCCTCCGTTTGATGTAGCAATTTCAGTAGACCTAAACTGGAACAGGCCCTACTTCTATAATTAATTACATTTAGAGCCAGCTGGGCTTACTGATGGATCCACATTGACCAGTGTGAGCCCCGCTGGCGCTCAGGAAGTATGCATCACCAGCCATGGCCTCAGAGGAAGGCCCTAGAAAAGCTAAGGGAATAGGCCTGAATCCTAGCTGTGCCTTTTGCTAACTGTTAGACCCTGGGCAAGTTATTCTGAGAAAGGATAGACTCAGCTCTCCGGTGGGGCTCGTCTAAAGACTAAACAAGAGACAGGTGGGGCACCTGGGTGGCTCAGTTGTTAAGCGTCTGCCTTCGGCTCAGGTCATGGTCCCAGGGTCCTGGGATCGAGCCCCACATCGGGCTCCCTGCTCCGCGGGAAGCCTGCTTCTCCCTCTCCCACTCCCCCTGCTTGTGTTCCCTCTCTCGCTGTCTCTCTCTCTGTTGAAAAATAAATAAAATCTTTTAAAAAAAGAGAGAGAGAGGTAAGAACAACACCGGGCTCCTAATTAGGAGTTGCCTAGTTAAGGACGGTTCTTACTATGAATACGTGCTAAGGTTTTGGCACCTCGAGGCTACCTGCCATTGCCTGCAGATAACTGGGGACGTGATGCTGGTCACAGATGGAGAATCAAGTCCCCTGCCTTCTCTTTGTCCTAGAACACCAGACCCTAAGTCCCTCATCCCTGCTCCTTTCTGTTCTTTCAGGACTCCCCCACCCCCCAGACAGTTCAGTGCCTAAAGCAGAAAAGGGCCTTTCTCCTCTTCCCATGAATCAGCCTTTGGGATTACCACACCATTCTACTGTATCTTAAAGATACTTGAAATAAAGAACATTATCTTAGCCATATTTGTAGTGCTTAACTTCTTCTTCCTCCTCTCCTCTATAATAGGTTCTAGCCCAGTTTAGAACTGAATTAAGGAGAGACAAAGGTCCTGGGGACTCCCGAGGGCAGGCCCACTCACTGTGGATGCCTGGCAGACGACCGCTCGGTCTTAACTCTGTTTTCAAAGCTTGACTGCCCAGTGTTTGCCTCTAAGGGAGTCAAACTATGTTCAGGGGGCGTGGAAAGCATTTGTGCTGCACTAGGTTACAACCAGCTGTCTGGGGCCGCACAAAGGTAAGGCTCCGAAGGGCACTCAGCAGGGATAACCACAGGAGAAGTGTGCCAGGCTGCCCCCCTCCACTTCTGGCGCCCTGCTCCCCGCATCTCGTTACCTTTCTCTTCTGTCCAGTCAAGCACCTGGTACCCCCCGATCTCTCCAGCCCTCCTCTGCTCTCTTCCGTGATGCTAGCCTTCCTTTATGTTTCAGCATGAATGTGTTTATTACTTTGCTCTTGCTCCCAAGCCAATCTTCACTTTAGCCTTCAGTGTAACTGTAGAATCAAAATATATTATTATCCCTCATTGGATTGATGTTATGCATCTACACGAAAGGGAGAGTCGTAAGTTGAGCGAATACATCCTTGTGCGCACTCAAAATCATACTGTGAAAGCCGTTCCAACCTTTCCTTCGGTATGGGTTTTGAAAATGGCTCTAGCAAGAAAAGCACAATAAGGTCATGGAAAATACAGAGGTGATGGCCCTCAGCAGGCTTACGTTCAGATCTGGGCTTTTGAAAAAAGCTCTGATCCAGAGTCAGTGAATCAATGTTTTTAAAGCATTTAATAAAATACAATCCTTGGCACATAATAGGTAGTCAATAAATAATAACTATTATTATCTTCAAAAAAGTGACTCGTTTAGGCACTTACCTTTTTCTAAATCGGAGTAAGCAAGTCTGGGCTCCACTAATTCTTCAGTAATAATGGTTTCAAAGGGTGTTCTTTCCCAGGCTCTTTCAAAGGTGCTCCCCCACCAAAAGTTTTATTCTGTTGCTTTGTTTTGTTGTGTTGCGTTGTGTTTTCGGATATTAGGTTAGTGGGTGGGAAGCCTAAAAGCAAATAGTCTGGTAATTTTCTAGAGAAAAACATCCCAAGTGTGGATACTGTTTTAAAGTGCTGCGCGCAGATTTAAGAGAATTGAAATTGTGCTTTACAGAACCCCTTAACGGCTATTCCAATTCTATTCATGTTGCTGCCACCTAGTGGAGAGTTCAGTGGGTGGAAAACAAAGAAAAAGCGCCCTCGGCGGCTCCCTTTATACAGAGTGCGCTCCTGCCACCTGGTGGTGGAATTTAGGGCCGGCCGTTAGCCCCTGGAAATGCATTGTACCCGAGACGTTTTTCAGCGGAGGGGCTAAGCCAGCCGCTGTGATGACCCGGAGTGTGGTCCCTTGGCCAGGAGCTCCCGCCTCCCCTCGGCAAGCACTGGTTTTGAGTCCCCGCGCATCTTGCCCAGAAAAGCGATATGGCTGCCCTGGAGTCATTCTCCCGAAGGCAGAGCTGGGACCCTGGGCATAAACCCCTGCCTCTACTCCACAAAATAGGCTGAAGCCAAAAAGTGATGGTATTCCTAGAGATTGCTCCATTCCCAACCTCCAACTGGTTAAAAATTGAGGAATATTAAATCATCTATCGCGGTGTCAGCTATGGTACGGTCAGAATTTCCCCATTTTTAGCTCTCTGGGCCTTTAAATATTTTTTAATTCCCCTTTTCCCTATACCTGTTGTCTATTAGCAGTTTTTAAATTCTCCCCTCATAAAACCGAAGGCGTAGTTTTATCAGATATGAAAAAGAATTTTAAAACCGTAATTAGAGAGGGCCATTAAATCTCGAGCTCTCTGGATTTCTACTTACACACTCACTGAGTCTCACAGACTGTAGAGGAAAGGTAACTTTTTGGTTCCTTCCAAAAAATCACTTAGTCCAGGCTCTTGCCCAACTTGAGGTGAGAATATTCAACCGAAGTGGGCAATTTCAGAACCTGAACACAGCTTTCTGCCAGGGCGGTCGTTCTGCTCTCCTTTTATGAACACCATGACTCACCGACCTGATCAAATTTCCTTCTTTGTGCGGCCTGCTGGAAAAATTCAGGAGCAAACCGGGCCCTCTCTTCTTAGGAAGTGGGCAAGACTTCCTCGTGTACTGTCCTGATTCATGGCTCTACCTCAGAATCTCCCCTTTGCCTCATCTTCCTCTCGGCCTCAAATATGTGGTATCTCCTGGTGCTCTTATTTTTTCCTCAATGCCTTAGACCTACTGGAAAGATACTGAGTAGGTAGAGAATTCTGTGTGGGCTTATTATATGTATATAAAAACCAAAGATGAAAGGCTCTTTCAAAAGAAAAATTTGAAATTAAAAATATATTTTAAGGGGTGCCTGGTTGGCTCAGTCGTTAAGCGTCTGCCTTCGGCTCAGGTCATGATCTCAGGGTCCTGGGATTGAGTCCCACGTAGGCATCGGGCTCCCTGCTCGGCGGGAAGCCTGCTTCTCCCTCTCCCACTCCCCCTGCTTGTGTTCCCTCTTTCACTGTGTCTCTCTCTGTCAAATAAATAAAATCTTTTAAAATATATATACATATATATTTTAAATTAGGAAATTGGTGGTTTCGGTATAAAATGTTCCCTGATGAGGTTTCTACGGCCAGAAGAAATGAGATTCAACACTCCCACAGTTTTACTGACACTATACTTACTGTTCTCAAGTTCCTGACAAAGAGAAGAAGGCATTCTTCTGATGCTAATTAAACTTGTTAATTTGTTTCCGATTATGAAATAATTGCTACAATCCCTCACATTGGAATTCGCATCAAGGTTGGTGAAACGCTGTTTAGATTCTTAACTGAATAATAAAACAAGGGCCAGGCTAGATTCAAAACTTTATCAGTTGGTATAAATGAAATGGCAGTTAGCGAAACTTTCTCAACATATGTATTTTTAAAGGTTAAAACATTTACAATCAACACTCAATAGTTAAGAGAATAATGCCACTGTACTTCCTGCCATTGTTTTATGTTTTAATATGATCCCAAGACTTTTTCATGAATTCTAAACTTGGTGCTGGAGTGGGGGGTGGGGGGGAGGGATGGGGTGACTGGGTGATAGACACTGGGGAGGGTATGTGCTCTGGTAAGCGCTGTGAATTGTGCAAGACTGTTGAATCTCAGATCTGTACCTCTGAAACAAATAATGCAATATATGTTGAGAAAAAAAAAAAAGAAGAAGAAGAAGGTAGCAGGAGGGGAAGAATGAAGGGAGGGAAATCGGAGGGGTAGACGAACCTGAGAGATGATGGACTCTGAAAAACAAACAGGGTTCTAGAGGGGAGGGGGGTGGGAGGATGGGTTAGCCTGGTGGTGGGTATTGAGGAGGGCACATTCTGCATGGAGCACTGGGTGTTGTGCACAAACAATGAATCATGGAACACTTCATCTAAAACTAATGATGTACAGATCTGGGATTCAACAGTCTTGCCCAGATCTGTACCTCTGAAACAAATAATGCAATATATGTTAAGAGAAAAAAAAAAAAAGAAGAAG